TTGTGTTCCCTCTCTCGCTGTCTCTCTCTGTAAAATAAAATAAATAAAATCTTAAAAAAAGAAAAAAATATAAAAAAAATAAATCATGAGTTCATATTGGCTTTCTAAATTCAACTTTACCGTTATAGATTTTTTTCTTTATATCTTACATTTTATATCCTTATCTCTTTTTCTTACACCATAAATCTTGTCATCTGATAATACTAATATATTTACTTTTTCCTTTATCCTTGTGATATATAAATATAAAATAGTTTCAAATTTAATTATAATATTATTACTATTACTAAACCTACTGGGTGATGCTTACTACTTTTTTGTAGCTTTTCCTGCTTTTAAAATATTATCTCATTAAGGATGAGTCAGAGGACTGTGTTTATAAATTATTTGCAATAGCTATTTCCTTTATGGGACTATGTTATCAATTTGATAAACATTTAGACTCATTTGCTTTTTTAAAATATTTATTTATTTGAGAGAGAGAGAGAGAGCACATGAGCGGGGGGGGGCAGAAAGAGAGGGAGAAGCTGACTACCCCTGAGCAGGGAGGGAGCCCGATGCAGGGCTTTATCCCAGGACCTGGAGATCATGACCTGAACCAAAGGCAGAGGCTTAAATGACTTAGTCACCCAGGCGTCCCTCATTTACTTTTTTATCTTCAGTCTCGGGGCTTATATCCTTGATTGATTTTTACTTTTTGGATATATAAAACATAAGTATGGTTCAAAAGTCAAAACCATACAAGGAGGTGGATTTAGAGGAATGTGGCTCTCATCTTTATCCCTTTTACCCTATTCACCAACTACCCCCTTTAGTAATCATTTTCATTAGTTTTTTTGGTTTTTTTTTTTTTTGCCTTTTGGATATTTGTACCTCTTAATCCCCTTCATCCATCCCCCGCCCACCCACCTTCTCTCTGACAAACACCAGTTTGTTCTCTGAATTTAAGAGTCTGTTTCATTTGTTTTTGTTTGTTTTGTTTTTTAGATTCCATAGTATTTGTCTTTCTCTGTCTGATTTCACACACACACACATCCATTATATATATTTTATATATCCATTATATATATAA